AAGGAGAGCAAAAGAATAAGCTACTTAACAAAGAAGCTACCTGGGAGGTGAGGTCTCACCCTTGCCAGAGAAGCCTCCAGAGAACAGCCAAGGGGCCGCAGGCCAGACAGCAGGACGGTGGGGCCTCCGTTGTCCATTCCAGAAAAGGCCTCTCACTCAAACTGCAGCAAAAGACTCTCTCCCAGCTGCCTCCCCTATGAGCATATCTGATATTTATCCCCCTACCCCTGCTATTTGCCAGAGAATAACAGTTGTAAACACTCCCTGTGCCTCCTCCCCCACCCCAGGTCCGAGACATTTCCATGTGCCAGTACTAGCTATTGGGACCATGCTCCTTCTCTGTCTCTGGGCCTCAGTTTCCTCGTTTGTAAAATGTGTGGGTTAGATTGGTGACCTCTAGGCTTTCTCTCATCTCTGTCAAATCTGAAATTTTATGAGCATTTGGATATCGGGATTCTAATCGCCTGTGCTTTATCTACTAGCTGTGACCTTTGAACAAATAGCCTCTGCTCTCTGATCTTCTCCTGTAAAGGACTGGCACACAGGGCGACTTTGCGGCCCACGGGCGCTAACACTTAGATCGTCGATGGTGACCGAAAAGCCATCGTAAAAGTAGAAGGCGGTGTTTTCCATCTTGGGCACGGCACCCGGAGTGGTAGCTGTCTGTACACAAGGTCCATTTGCCTTCTCTGTTTTTCTCGGCCTTTCCTCCCATTCACTCGTGGGGCTGCATTCTCCTGGGAGCTGCTGTTTGCCCCTCTGGGCCATCAGCTTTGCTGGGAGTGCTGGTCTCCCCCATTCTTCAGGTGTCCGGGAGTTGGGCTCATGGTGAAGATTAGCAGGCTTAAAATAATTTCAGATTTGTCTTAATTTGGACAGAGTTTGACCTGAAATATACCACTGGGCTGTTTATGTAAAGGGATTCTTGCCAAATCTATTAAAGTAAATGAGGCAGAGATGAAACCTACATATCTAACACATGGTTTTAAAGTACCTTTAGGGAACACCAGTTACATTCAGCTGTATAGTTATAGCACAAGCAGAAAGAAAGAAAACTTCACTTAAGTTGACAAGCAAACACTTTTGTCCTTTAAGGAAGACCCGTCGGTTGAAACTTCAGCCTTCCTAGGATGCTCCAGAGTGGGACAAAAGCAGATTGCATGGTTTGTGTCTGTAACCATGTGGAGTTTTGAGAACTGCAAGATACTAGAAATGGCCGATCACCTCATCAGTTCCTCTTGGCCCAGGTTTCTCCCATGGGTTAGGTCTGAGAGTTGATCAACTTGAAGCTCTCAGGGGAAGCACAGAATATGAGTTATTAATTTAAAAGAATAAGTTCTCAAGGGAGGAAGCCAAGCCAGGGAGAATTTATGGCTTGATTGTGTGTATGTAAATTATCAATTCTATAGAATTTACACCGTGATTGCTTTTCTGCAAGAAGATTTGCTTCTCTCTCCTGAGAGTAATAGAACAGTTTTTACATGAAAACAAACTTCTCCTTCCTCCACCCAAAGTTTTTCAAACTTTTTGCTGATTTCAGATTGCCTGTCCCCCCCTTCCCCCGCCCTGGCTGCTCAGAATAGGATGTTCTTTCGTCTCCCTGAGATAATCTAGCTCTGGCCTTCTTGAGTGCACAGTTAGCTTGCTGAAAAATAACACAGTGATAATAAAAATAAATAGCTAAGGCTAACTGGGCACTTACCCTGTGATCTAAGTGTTTTATTTACATTATCTGATTTAATTCTCCTAGCAACTGAAATTGGTATTATTATCATCATTATTATTACCTTCCCTTTTTAAATAGATACAGACAGTTTGAGGCTTAGTTTGATTCAGAAACTTTCTGAGGCTGTGAAGTGGTAGAAGGAGTGAAGTGGTAGAGCTGGAAGTTAAAGAAGGCCAGCTACAGTTTGTCCCCAGACTTGTTTTCTGCAAAAAGACATCTTGAAAATTCCCCAGGAAAGCTTAAAGACAACCTCTCAATTTAGCATCCTGGGCTGATTCACCCAGGGCTCCTTCAGCAGAGAGATTTTGCTCAGACACTTCCAAAGTCCCTGCAGTCAGACCTGCTTGGGTCTTCCCCACCTTCTTTTGCTTATAGCTGTCCTGCCTCTACAGCACACCTGGGCTAGGTGTGCCCGTCACTGTGTACCCCAGGCCTCAGAGGAACATGCCAACAACTCCTCATTTGATTTCAGTTTTATAGCACTTGGAAGGAGCTCCCAGGTGGAGGATTTCATAATCCGGGGTCTGCTCTTCGGAGCCTGGACTGAGGAAAATGCGGAGGGCCCTGGGGAGAAAGGAGCTGTGTTGCCTGTGGGCCAGCTGAGAACGTGGCCCTTGGGACCTCCGATCCCAAGGTCAGATTGTATCCCCTGGAACAAGGCTTTGGGTTTAGCCTCTTACGCATTTCGTTCCATCCCCAGTAGCCGTGTCTGGTGGTCTGCGCATGCCCCAGAGGAGGGGGCTTTCAAATCAGCCCGTCCTCTGCAGTCTCCTTGACTACAGTGCCCAAATCCAGCGGTGCAGCACAGCCTCAGGTGCTCGGCTTGCGGGGCACAGTCCTCACGGAGAGAGAGGCCTGCTTGTCTGTGGGAGCCAAGGGCCTGGGAGTGAGTCAGCCGGGCTGCCCAGCCCCTGGGACAGGTCTTCCCAGAGGTGATTATTGGCCAAAGAGAAGAAAGCAGCCAGCCAGGCCCCATTAAAATGCTGCCACAGGTGAGGAATTGTCTCTGGGAAACATTCCCTGAAGGGCTGATAGCATCTGAAGGGGTCAGCTCCAAGTTTCTGGCAAGTGTTTCCCACCCAAGCCCGCAGAGGTCACTAGAGAAGCTCTGGCCTGTGAGGGGGCCGGCTTGCCAGGTGTTTCTGGCACAGCTGAGAGCCAGCATTGCTGCAGCCACTCTGCGTCTGTCCTTCCCTGCGTGCTGGGCACTGGGCTCCCTCACCAGAGCCCTCCAAGTTTGATGCTGTGATCCCCATATCATAGATGAGGCTCAAAGAGTTAAGTAATATGCCTGGTTTGTAACTGGCTGGACCAGGATTCAAACATGGGTCTGTCTGGATTTTTTTCCATTCCACCATTAGGCCTCCTTGGAAGGGAGCGCTGACCCAGCCCAAGATATGGATCTTGGGTGAGCATGTGACGTAGCAGCCGTGGCCATGAGAAGAAGTGGAGTGGGACATGGTGCAGAGCAAAGGCATTGAGTGCCGCTGCCTTGCATAGATGGGAGAGGCGAGTGCCTCATTAAAGCCCAGCCACCTCACTGGTAGGAACGAGGGCTCTCCATCTTGTCTTAGCCTGATTTCTGTGGGTAGGTCCATACGAAACAACTCGTCTTAGGGGAAACTATGGTGTTTGGTACCCACGCAAGAGCAGAAGTCTTTCTGTAGCATTTCGCATTAGTGATAACTCTTGGATTTCACCCAGGCTGTCAGATCTCTTTTCACTCTGTTCCCTTCTCCACTTCACCACTCAATTTGTATGCTATTATTGTCTAGCCTCAATTCCAATTCATCCTGGATTCCAAGAGACACATTTTTTCACACTTTAATATCTGCAAAAGGCACACACATCGTAAAAGGGAGATACACATAAAATATAGTGGGGCTATTTAAATTGATGCTGCATTTTTAGAATTGATGGAGACCACGAATTGAGGAAATATGATAATTCATGCCTTTATTCAACCCATCAATCACCCACAATAAATGACAGGCATTACGCTAGATGCTGGGAATGTGGAAATAACTAGTATGTAGTCCTTGAGGTCACAGTCTTGAGGGGAGGGAGATGGACCAGACAAATTGACAGTTAGAGCTCACTGTAGGAAGGGCTGTGAATTCAGGGAATGCAGGATGAGCAGAGGATGGGAGGAAGAAGGGCAGGGAGGCAGGGGAGACTAAGAATGCCTTGAAGAAAAGGTATATCAGGAAGGAAGGTGGGGATACAGAGGGGTTAGGCATGGGCTGGGGGTGGGCTGGGGAGTGGTATTCCAGACAAATGGAATAGTTGGAGCAAAGGTTCAGAATCATGAGAAACTAGGGTATTTGGAAGCATCAAAGGCTTCACTGTGGCCAGAGTGGAGGGTGTGTGTGCAGACTGTGGATTAAAATGAGGCTGCAGAACAGGAAGAGATCACAGAGGACCAGGGGCACTGTGCACATGAGTTTGACCTCCACCCAGAGTCCAAGGGCGAATCACTGAAGGATATTAAGCAGGGCAGTGTGCCTTGTGTGTGTTTAGGAACTCCGTATAGAAAGCAGGTGGGAAGAGGATAGCAGGATGGCGTGGGAGGAGGCAGGTAGGGTTACAGCTATTGGAAGAGGAAGAAGAGTTACCCTGAAGGATGCAAAAAGCCTCATTTCCCTTTATCATTCCCAGGCAGGTGGACCTGGCCATGGAGGCTTGGGGAAGGTGCAGCAGGGCTTCTAGACTTGACTTAACTTTGCTCTTGCCTTCACCCCACCACGTGTGCCCTTGTCTCAGGAAAACTATGTGATCAGTGGTCAGGTTGATCTACGAATGGATGCTGGGAAAAGCTAGACAAGGAAGAAAAGCTTACTACTTGTCTCTACTTGTCAAAGAAGTATCATATCAGCCTACAATGGTGACATTCCAACTTGAATTTGCCAAATTAATTCACTGATCAGAAAATTTTACAATTGGATGGGAGTATGTACAGGAATTGGTGAGAACCATCTCAGGAAAAACACCGTGGTCACATCTCAGTGTGATATCAGATATTAAGTGTGAAAAGTCATAAGAAAGAAGCAGATAAATGGCTGTGGCTGTGCATGGGAGTCACACAGCAAACACATAGTGAGTGCTGTTGACTGGCTGGTCCACCTGTAAGAGATGCTCTGCAGACAGATGTGGGGGTGAGGGGTGGAAGGTGCTCTTTCACCATATGGGGGATACTTTGAAAGGTGTGGGAGATGATTCCTGATGTTGTGACCCAAGACTTACAGTTTTCTTCCCTTCCCACTTCCCTGAACAGGTGCAGTGCCATACTTACACGGGGTACTGCTGGTGTGTCACCCCAGATGGGAAGCCCATCAGTGGCTCTTCCGTGCAGAATAAAACTCCTGTATGTTCAGGTACCGTAGGGAGGGGCGGGAAGAATGAAAAGGGTTGGGGAGAGACCCCTTGGTTGGTCTCCTGTATCTTGTGGGGGAAGCTTCGTATGGTTGTTGGTGGTTATGAACCCTTTTCCAGGTCAGGGAGAATTCTGCTCTAACACGCGAATCTGTATATGCCTGCGTGCATGTATTTATTGATTTTGAGTTTAGGTTTCTGGTCCAGTGCTCTTTTCCTAAGCATTGGCTATGATCCCTAGAGCTAAGATGGCATGTAAATTATTGACTTGTGTGCTCATTCTGATCGCTAGTGGCTCTTGAAGTGCTTTATTGAGATGGATTTCGAGACTGCGAGGGAGTCCAACATCAAAGGCTATGGTCATCAATTAGTGATGTCTGTCATGGGCGCAGGAGACGAGAGTGGCGGCTTGTTTGCCATGTATTTGCCACCCTGGAAGAGTGTAATGTAGAGTAAGGGAGCACTTCCATAACAGGCCCTTACATCTGGCTGGTCATCGGCAGTGCGTGGGGAATTAAAAAGAACCCATATGTCGAGGCTCCCCTTGTATATTCTGATCCAGTAGGCCTGGAGTGAGACCTGAGGTCCTTATTTTTATGAAGCTCCTCAGGTGGTCCTGGTGATTAGACAAGTTAGGAAACCACTGCTTTATAGTGATCTGTTAGGTTAGTCTATAGCAGAAGTTAAGTCCTTTCTATTCCCGACTTTATAAGCATAGAGAAATTTTGCTCTTTGGTCAATTTCATGGGATTGTGGATTATGGATTTACACAGCCCCCTACTGCCCACCTCCACCCAGACTGGAAGGGACTCCAAGTTGCTTCCTTAATTCACTATGTGGCTCAGCCTTCTTTTAAAAAAGACTGTGTCACCCATCAGCCGATTCATGTTTCTCTATGTCTGTGTGTATAGGGTTTTACTGACTTTCTTCTTTTTCATTTTAAGTATAAACAAAGTATAAAACATTATGGGAAATTCCAAAGTCTAGTGGTCTTGCTATTGTAACTTTCCCCCTTTTTAATTAATTTATTTATTTTCACAAAATTTATTCATTTCTACTTGCCCTGCTATATAAAGAGAAAAGTAAGTGGAAAGGGCAGTAAGAAACTACATCAGGAAACCAAAATTTGCAGGCCAAAAAGGGAAGTTTACTTTATTTGTGGTTTACATGGAAACTGGAAACCTTAATTGGGGTTGGGGTGGGGAGGGGCAGGAATTAGCTCTCCTTGCAAATGACCTGGAAAGTCTCATTTAAAGCAAACAAATGCACTAGAAACAAGCCATGCAAGGTAATGTAATTGAATTCTCACAAAAGTGGTATATGGAGAAGGAGCGTGATATGGATTAGGGAAATATAGATTCTTTCTTTTCTTTTGTTGGTGGGACTCTATAGAGCCGCTTCCATGGGAGAGCTGGCTATAGCCTGCATGTGTGGGGCTGGGCTTCAGGGAGAGGACAGGTGCCACAGGGCCGGGACTGGAGGATAGGGTGCACATGCCATCCCAAGATCTGCAAATGTCAGGCCAAACACACATGCTGCCCCCTCCTTGAGGAACAGGCTGTGTCTTGAAAATTGTTTCCATGCCTCAGACTATTTTGGCCCATTCTGTACAATTGGGCCAACAATTTTCTACTTAATGCAGATGGAAAATTGCTGATTTCCTGTCCTAACCAAGCAAGGGATGTCAATCATTGCATTTGCAGTACGGGGGTTGGGGGGGGAGGTGGGGAATGGGGCTCTTTTCACTTGGCCCTTGCTGACTTGATGTGGCTCAGAACATGGAGCTGATGAGAAGTCAGGGAGATGGGGTGGAAGGTGAGGGACAGATACCGGAATGTTCAACTGGGAGTTACATGAATGTGGAATTTTGTAAAAATCTGGTTAAGACTGCTGCCAGGGAACCTGGAAATCATAGTTCATCTCCACAGTGCTGGGTTATCAATGACATTGATGTTAAACAAACCCCACTCGACAAGTGTATAGGCACTAACTTCGTATATAATATCCCTAGCTGTGTATACAATGCAAAACACACCACCATATGCTCATAACATCAGGCTCTGCCAACTCTTTGAAAACAACCGACCATAATGTGTTCTGAATGGCTATGTTTTTGTTTCCCTTCTCACCCAAGGTTCAGTCACCGACAAGCCCGTGAGCCAGGGTAACTCAGGAAGGAAAGGTGAGTGGAGTTTTATGCTTTATCTAAATGTTTGCTTCTTGAGCCAGTCTGAGCAGGCGTTCTTAGAAAAGATATTTGGAGCCTGGCTGGGGTGAAAGCTCCAAGTGCTCCCAACAAGTCTTCTCCGTGCTCTTTCTGTGTCCTCCCAGAAGCACCGGAGGTAAGTAAGGCTCACACAATGACGGAGCCCATGCTCCCAGAATTTTCGAGGAAGGTGGGTGAGTCTAGAGCCCAGAGCTGGCAGGGACCTTTAGAAAGTGAGGCCTGAGAATCTTGGTTCCCCGAGCAGCTCTGCCAATTGATGACCAGTGTAGCCAGAATTAAACCAAAGAGGATGGATGAGGAAGGTAGAGGGGCTCACATCTGCCCCTGGCTCTCTTGTTTTGTAAATCTGTCGGAGCTGGTTTTTCCCCACGGATTCTCCTTCGTCACTGTTCTTGCACATCCAGATTCTCTTCACTGAGGCCCGGCTGGGCATATGACCTGTGTCGCTGTTATCCTGACATTCTGAATAACTATGCCTTTGAGTCCAATGGGACAAGGAAGATGTGCATGAACACAGGAGATATGTGAAATGTGAGTGTCCACTGCTGAACCTTGTCACCCATTAGTATATAGCTTTTGTGATGTGTGCTATGTGGCTTCCAAAATTTTAATTTTTCTTTACCTAGAACAACATTAAATAGCAAATTAAAAAACACCATGAAAAGTCAAGAGAGGGAGGCTATGGAAAAGAGGATAAAGCTTTATATTTAAGTGCCTGTAAGGGCACTTTTCTCCTGCTTTTTGAATAGAGGATTGTGCATTTTCGTTTTACACTGGGCTTTACAAATTATGCAGCCAACATTTGTCTGAGCGTTGTTTAGTGGACAAGTTGATAGATATGAGCAGTAGGTCTATGGAATATGCTGATCATAACTTTCTGTGTGGAAGACAGTTTGAGGCCTAAGATTCACTGAGACTGGCCTTCAGGACAGCATGCACACAGAGAGCTGGTGGTTGCATGGAAGCAGCTATGTATTCCACCCCACGTGCAGGTACTCCAGAACTCCCATCTCAGGCTGAATTTGAGACTTCCCACCTGCATCAATAAGGCCTTGGGAACTGCATGCTCATCAGAGTCCCTGTGGAGAGTTGGGCCTGCCGAGGGTCACTGTGAAGGTCACAGGCTTATCCTACACACGTAGTTGCAGGGGGACCAAGGCAAGGCTCTGGACCTGCCCTGAATGCTTATGCCATGGGGATGGGAAGAAGAGGCAAAGACACCTGCTCTGAATGCAGGAAATAAGAATCTGGAGAACCTGCTGCCCCAAGATGCAGGTGCTCCGAAAATACATAGAAGTAGAACATGGAGATGCCACCACCCACCAGAAAACATGGACCAGTGGGCTGGATGGGTGCTCCTCTTCCCCTGGGCAAAAATGAATAAGTGGATGACAAGGAGGGAGCAAGTACCTTTTCAGGCCCTTCCCAGGGCATGGGGGGACAGCCATGAGTGTTGCTGATTCCCTCCCAAGTGGGGAATTGGGGAGAAGCGTCTGCAAAGACCTGAAATCAACACTGAATGGTGCTTTTTTACTGGGCTGGGACAGGAAGTTGCCTTCAGTTTTGCTTGTTGCAGCTGAAATCTTCAGAAACATCACCTTTGTTCCTGCGTATGAGGTCCTGGGGGTAGAAAAGAAAAACTGGCAATCATGTGAAACTGACCACCCAGATTTCCACTCGCCTCCCCCACCTGCCAAGGGGAGCTGAGTATAGGGTGCTGAATAAGGCATATGCACCAAAAAAGGCCACCCGTGGGATTTCGGTTCTTAAACTGGACAGAGAAATCCTACCAGGTCGACGCTGCTTTTCCCCTGGGGGATAACAGTGCGAGACAGACCCGTGGACATCCCAGGCTCCCATTGATCGATCTAGCAGGAAGAGGGCAGAGGGGCTGGGGATGTCAGTTTACAATAAACAGCAGTGAGCAGGCTTTGCTCCTTTTTAGCTCTAGGGTCAGTGGCCAGAGCGTGATTCCTCTAAGGGTGATGCAGGAAAGAAGGGGTAGAATCTGACACCTCATCTTGGAGGGATGAGTGGCTGACAGTTCCCAACTCTTTGCTCTCCTGCCCTGGCTGGTTCCCTCCTCCCAGATGGCTCTGCACCATCTCTTTGCTGCACAGGTCAGGACAGGGGCCCTGTGGGGTGGGCAATGCTGGGACTCACCCTCCCCTGGAGTCTTGAATTCTGCCCAGTGGCCCTTCTTTCCCTCTGATTTAGAGGCTCCGATTAGGCCCTGGATCCTCTCCTCTTTGTCTGCCGTGGGCGGTGCAGTGAAGAGCAGGTTCGGGCCACCTGTAGGAAGGGCCACCTGAAGCCACACCTGTCCAGGAAGCCGAGGTTTGAATGGGGACAGGGTGTGAGAGGGCATTTGTAATATCCTGTGTCAACCCGCCAAGGTTCCCCTTTCAGCTGCCACTTAAGAATGGAATGTGCTCTGGAGGGCAGCAGGTGGGAAGACACAAAGGCCCCTTGTCTGAGCTGGTGCCCGCACGTGGGTTCTCCTAGAAGGCATCTATCTCCCTGCCTGCTGCAGAGGGATGCTGGGCCTGGCCCTTGTGTAGGGGGAGGGGTATGGCCAGAAAGGAGGTGAGGCCAGAGGTCTGGGGTCTGAGGGGGGTGGGCAGCTGGGCAAGGACCGGACCCGCCCTTTTCTTTCCCTGCCCTCTTGCCTTTTTGAATGTGCTCTACTGACAGGGCTGGGAGGATCGGTTCTCTCCGCCTGGACGGAATGAAAAGATGTATTGTGCAGCCACGGAGAGTCTGGTTGCCAGCCAGGAATTGGTCTATGAAGGAGAGAAGGAGAAAGGCAGAGTGAAAGGAGGCTGGGGGAGGAGGCCCCGAGAGATAGTAAGAGGGAGGCAAGAGAGAGGGAGGCCAGGTGGTAGCAGGTCACAGCCTCTTGGCCCGGGCAGGAGGCCTGGGTTGCTGCGGTTGCTGGGTCTGCAGGTGTGGGGCCCGAGGACAGAGGTGGGGGAGGGAGGAGGAGGCTGTTATCTTACCCAGATGCACATGTTCCAGGAGGGGCGGGAGGTCAGAACTTCAGACTATTTACTTAATCCCTTGGAATGTCCTCTCCTCACTCTGTTCTTTGGGCCCCTTGTGTTTAACGGACTCCTTTATGGGCACATGTGTGGTAATTAACACATGCGGTGTGGGTCCTGGGCCATGTGTTTGAGTTTCAAATATCCATTGATCTGGGACAATCCCATCCTGGCCGCCCCCTCCCCTCCTCCTCCTCTGGTCCTGGCCCTGGAAGAGAGATGTGAGGGTGTGTGTGCCGGGGGTGGTGTGCACGTGCATTCACATGTGTTTTATTATGCTCACACGTGTTTTGTTCCTGCTACAGAGGAATATCTGAGCAGAGGAGGAGGGCCCCACACAGCCCCTTTAGCCTTGAAAATCTGCGGCTAAAACAGTTGAAGGCTGCAGAAGCAGAGATATAGGTTACGTTTGGTTTTCATTGAAGTGGTCTGAAGGAAAGTAGCTAGGAAGCAAAATGAATTTAGGGGGCAGGAATTTGTCCTGGGTAGCTGACTGCACCAAGGCCTGTGGGTTTTCCCGACTGGCCTCTTTTTGGGGTCTTGATGCTAATTACTGCAGGTGATTTGAGGAGCTCCCAGGATAACTGAACACAAAGTGAGTGGCTGGGCCCGGCCTTCATTGCTTGTGAGGTTCAAGGAGGGAAGTTCTTAGCCTCTGGGAGGGTGAGGTGGGGGGTGGTGATGAAGGAGTCAATGAGAGAATAGGGACAGCACTTGTGACATGGTTTCTGGCAGTTCTCTGGGAGCTTTTGTCTTCTGAGTGCCCAGCGTTGCAGAGCCCTGGGGTGATCCTGTGATAAATGGCAAGTGAAAGTTTAGGGTCATCAGCAGTTTTCTGCCCTTTGCTTTTTCCTTGTAAGAGATCTGGGAGTTAGTTGTTTAAGGAAAGTGAGAGAAAAATAAAAACATTAATGAACTCTACTTAAATTTCCTGCATGGGCTTCTGTATTTGTCAAGCCAGTCATAGAGAAGGGCAGAACTTCCCAAATCCAACCCATCTTTAATTTGCAGAGACTTATTTTAAAAATCTCCCGCTGGCTATTCCATAGCTGTGCTCCAAGTAAAGAGTGAGTCATATTTATTTCTCCAAGGTCCCTGTCTGTGTCTCCAATTTTAGACTCTATCATGGAGCCAGGTCTAAAGGTTGGTGCCAACTTGGAGACCTTGTCGCTCAAGTGATGGATCAAGCAGCCTGAAGGGGCAAGCTTAGGGCAGGGGTGATGGGCAGCGTGCATCTCAAAGGGGACCGTGTGGCCCCCAGCCTCCTCCCTCATGAGTTGTTAGCACACCTGAAAGAGGGTGCTTCATGGCCCTGAGCCTGGCCAAGGTGTGCTGCGCTGGCTGTCGAGGGTCATTCCACACGTGGAATGTCACGCCAGCTCACATGACTCCAGCCTCTTCCCAGCTACATTTTTTTTTTTCTCTTTCTCTGGCAGCTATAGTGGGGAGGGCGCTGGATCTGTAGTTGATCTCTCAACATTGCCATCAGATGGCAAAGGTCTGATCATCTACCAGGCCGGGCTGGATTTGGATGGAGGTGGGCAGCTGACGACCTCCATGGTGTTGGCTTATGCTCACGTTGCCTTTCCCCGGGAAGAAGCTCTGACTCTGTGCCTGCTGAAACAGAACCATGCGTAACCAGCTCCAAGCCCATGAGAGGCAGCACTTTTGTGTTCTCCGTGCATGTTGCTGCTGCTTTCTGGTGCTCTGAGCCACCTCGATGACCAAGCCTGGTATGTCACTATTCCAGCTTTGCAAAGATCAGTTTCAAAAAGGGTGTGTACGGGTGCGCTTGAGTGCTCACGTGCACTCGGGGCCTCCCTCTGTCCAGCGGTTCACTGTTCCTCCAGCTTGGCTCCATCCACTCCACCGCCTCCAGCTTGGCCCTTATTCTAGGTCTTTGAAGGAAAGTTT